GTCGGGTAGTAGTAGTAGTAGTAGTCGTAGTCGTAGTCGTAGTCGTAGTCGTAGTCGTAGTCGTAGTCGTAATGGTAATGGTAGTGGTAGTGGTAGTGGTAGTGGTAGTGGTAGTGGTAGTGGTAGCAGTAGTGGTGATAGTAGTGGTAGTGGTAGTAGTAGTGGTGGTAGTAGTAGTAGTCGTAGTGGTAGTGGTAGTGGTAGTGGTAGTGGTAGTGGCAGTGGCAGTGGCAGTGGCAGTGGCAGTGTTAGTGGTAGTGGTAGTGGTAGTGGTAGTGGTAGTCGGTGGTAGTAGTAGTGGTGGCAGTAGAAGTGGTAGTGGTGGTGGTAGTAGTAGTAGTAGTAACTACTATGTGACTGCCTGCCTTCGGATGAGCCCAGAAGAGAAGCCAACAGTGGCAGAGCCAGCAGCATGGGCTTCTGCAGTGGAGCCTATAGCCAAGGCCCACTTTCTGGATGGAGGCGAAACACCACCTTGTTCCCCTGGGTTACCCCGCTAGTGTGCAAGTTCATCCGATCCTGCACACATGAGCCATTCACCAGCTTCGTCCTCCAGCGAAACACATCGATGGGAGTCCATAGAGACCTCAACAATGCCAGAGACAGTGTCAATATCCTGCTCCCATGCTCAACGTTTCGAGGAGGAGGGCTATGGATTGTACAACCTGGTGGCCAATGTGCATCGCAGGATGGCACACTATATGGCGAAGTACACCACCTCACCATGTCAGGCATCGCCTTCAACCCCTACCACAGACACGAGACCTTCCCTTGGGAAGGACACCGGATCACAGTTGCAGTCTTTACTATCAGAGAAGTTCACTCGCTTCGACCAGAACATCGCGAGACTCTGCAACGGCTACAGTTTGTGATACCCGCCCCCAATGAAGACAAGGCCACAATCCAAGAAGATTTGGAGGCAGAGACAAATGTACAAGCAATGTTCCACAGTGTGCCCATGAGCCACTAGAGTGTGCCTTGGGCCACTTGTATATGCCACTGCTCAAGTGTACATATCTACGGAATGGCATGTACAGACACCTTCAGGATTATGGATTGTGGATGCAGGGAGTCCACCTCAGCAGGTGGCCCCTTGTATCACATGCATCGCTCGCAACCTTTTTAAACCTTTCTTCCGTGAGCTCCTCGAGAGCCCACCATTGAACATGCAACATCTCTTGATAGATGAGTAGGACGCAAGTTTGCTGCTATTCGTAGCGGAACTTGCCCATGTGGATTTTGTGCTCTCGAAGCACCGGTGCAATGCACTGCAACGTACCTGACGCTAAGCTGAGCGACCGGCTGCGATTGGAATGGAAAGTAGTAGTAGTAGTAGTAGTAGTAGTAGTAAGTAGTAATTAGTGGTAGTAGTAGTAGTAGTAGTAGTAGGAGTAGGAGTAGGAGTAGGAGTAGGAGTAGGAGTAGGAGTAGGAGTAGAAGTAGAAGTAGTAGT